ATGAGTTTAGGTAAAATGTCTATTTCATTAACAAACATTTCACTTTTAAAATAATGAACTTTAAAATTAAAGTTTTACAAAACAAAAAAATAGCGTTTTAAAAATAAAAACGTGGCATTTGGCGCAGTCGAAAAGGATACGATGAAAAAGAAAATGGCGGAAAATCCAAACAACCGGTTGCAAAAATTCAACGGCTCGAAGTCGGCAATTAGGCCTGAGTCATGGATCAAATTATATGATTTTGAAAATAATTCTTTAAAAGAAGATGAAAAAATCAAAATCTTATGTACTACTTGACAGATTCAGCACTTGAATGGTATGCAGACGAGATTATTTCAAATCCTGCAATAAAAAGATGGGAAGTTGTAAAAGAAAAGTTGATTCAAAGATTTGGTTCATACAACGCAAATCCAATTGTCTCAGCATCACATCGAAGATTAAACGAGAAGAATCAATAGAAAATTATTCTCAAGATAAAATTCGCCTGCTAAATCAAACCCATCTAACGAAGGAGGAAAAAATTCATTTATTAACAGACGGACTTCCAAATGATTGGAAAGATTTAATTGTGGCTGCACAGCCAACTGACGTCACAAAATGGTTTCATATCGCAGCTTCAATTGAACAAAAATAGGGCTTCAATTCAGTTTAAGCCTAAAAACAAAACACATCTCGCGACAAAAAATAATGATAATAGAAAAAATGTTTGCCCATTCTGGTGTCCAATATGTTCGAAAAAGGGAATAAAAATTAAACATTGGGTCACAGATTGTGAGGATTATGATCCTAATTATAAAAAGGGATAGGCCTAATCAAAACACTTCAGTGAAACAAGTATGCGGAGCCCCGAATTGTTGAATGTAAGTACTTTGACAAATACCCCTACACAAGGAGCTTTCAAGCTTATCAACATAAGTGTTGAAGTAAATGGAATTCCTGCGCAAGCATTTGTGGATACTGGAGCAACAGTACCAATAATCAATTGGCGATTTTTCAAGCGAACCCGTCTTCAACTTCAACCAAATTCAGACATTCACATCAGCCAAGCGGATGGTGTTACCAGGACATGTGGAAGCCTTCAGACCAAGGTAAGATAGATAAACTAATTAAACCTGTAACTCCCCCATGTAATGAAGAACTTTAACTATCCACTCTTGATCGGATTAGATGTTGCATCTCTTTTTAATCTTTTAATAGACGTCAAAGACAAAACAATTTACACCAAATTTGATGGATTACAAAATCCAATTCTTGTAAATCATCCAGAAGAGATAAGAGAACATGAATTAAAAGAATTACTTGAACACAATAGGAATGTATTTTCTCAGCATGCTATTGATTTGGGAAAAGTAGCTATACAACATAAGATCATCACGAAAAGTGAACAACCAATTTCTCTTAGACCCTATCGTCGTTCTCTAAAAGAGTATGAAGAGATAGCTGAACAAGTTAAAGAACTTCTCGAACACAAGTTAATAAGAATTTCAGATTATCCTTGGGCAATTCCTGTTGTTATGGTTCCCAAGAAGGATGGAAATAAAAAGGATGTGCATTGATTACAGACGTCTTAATGAGATCACACTGGATGACAGGCAACCCCTACCTCACATACAGGACATGTTTGATCGATTGCATGGATCCAGATTCTTCTCTACCCTTGATGTTGCATGGGGTTATTGGCAGATCGAAATGGACCCGCAATCTATTAAAAAAAACTGCATTCGTCACAAACGATGGTCATTATGAGTTTTTAGTGATGCCCTTTAGTTTAAAAAATGCTGCTTCAACGTTTCAAAGGATAAACCAACATATTCTAGGTGAATTATTATGGAAAGGAACTTGCTCCTTCCAAGATGACATATTGGTGTACACGAAAACATGGCAAGAGCACATAGAGCTTTTGACAAATTAAGACAGTACAACATGAAATTAAAATTGTCGAAATGTATTTTTGGAAGTACTGAAGTAAAATACCTCGGACATATTATCAGTCACAATCAATTAAAACCAATAATACAATTGAGTATTTTCTGCCTTCTCACATTAGCATTTTCTTTTTAAAATCAATACCTGACCATTTTAATTTTTCTTTTCTTATTTTTTACATGTATACTAATAATAATAATTCAGTATTCAGTGAGCTTACCTTCACATATGCTAGATTCAGAACCAGACTTGGATTCTTCCAGACTGAAAAGTTTTCGGAGGCAAATTGTTGATGAAAAACTTCTTGCTGTGAACAGAAAACAAAAATCAGGTTAATGTTATCTTGATATACAACGTCTAGTCATATCTTACCTCAGTTCCCCGGTCTGTTGGCTCTCCTTGGCAGAGCTTTGAGGTTCATGCTCAATAATTTCCTGCTAACAAATATTTTTGTTGAACACTTTGAATCATTTTATAGAAAATTCTAAATAGCTGATATTATTATTTTTTTTTATTTTGTAAACTTTGATAATAATATAGGGTGATGTTTTTAGAGTATAAAAAGTAACTTTTTTCATTTAAATGAAGGTTTTATCTATTTTTGTACATTTTATTTTTAAGAGAATTTATTATATAAAAGACAAATAAAAAATTTGAATCATAGAAAGGAACGCAGTCTGTAACCTGTTTTCTACATATTATAACTCAATAGGAAGTGGATATATATCCTAATATGTCCGCTACTTCCCAAGTAATATCTTTGAATGTGTCAAAATACCAGGCTTTCTGAATTGACGAATAAATTCAAGGATGTATATATAAAGACAAAAAAGCGCTTTAGTTGAGAATTTTTCTAGAAATATACATGTATACATGAGAATAATGGATGGCTACCATCTAATCAAAATAGACGACAATAGCAGGTGATTGATTCTCTTTGTAAATTAGCGGAATTATGTGAGTGACAGAGCCACAACACCGCCTTTGGCCAATTGTTCTGCATTCTAAGTGACCTGAATCGCTTAGCTTACAAATATATTTAATAAATGTTGCTGAGTTTTAGCGTCTAATTTAACGGATGTGCGCTAATCTTTAGATCTGAATATTCGTACTGCAGAATTTTCATCTATATGTGTGAATCTATCTGTGAGTTTTGACATGCGTTTATTGTAATTGAATATGAAAGAGGGTCTTGGCAGTTTGTATTTGAGGCTGAGTACACATGTCGTTTGTTTTTTACAATTATTTCCCAGATTACAGTTCTTAACTGGATCTACCACCTTCTACATTACATTTACTTACCTTCTTCGAAGAACTTTCAGCTGACTCCGTGTCCTCTTCATCTGCCCCATAACGATTAAGATTATTTAGTAGTTCTCTATATATTTATTCATCTATAATTAAAAATTATATATTAGATCAAAATATCATATATGCTTTTTAATTAAAGATTTATTTATGGATTGCTCTATTTTCAAAATGTATTCATCTCTTTATAAGTCTTTACTCGTCTTCATAAATAAATTGTCGATAATATTTACCAATGATCTACATAAAACCACACGTACACACCCACGCACATATATACTTGGACCGCAGTAGGCTCCTCATCCAACCTGCAATAACGATAATGCAATGGGGATAGAAATAAGGGTGGTAGCGCACCAGCCTGAAGATAAATGAAGACCACACGCATAGGAACATGGTTATCTCGGTTTAGAGGGGGCAGCACCTGGGAAGTTGAGGTGGACTATGAGAGTCCTGGGATCGCTGGTTAATCTGGCAGCATGGCAACCTGGCTGTTGTATATATTGTGCTCTTTCCAACAGTGGGCTCAGAAGGAACCCAGCTTATATGCTAATGGTGACTTCAGAGGGGGCGGACGGGGCCCGTAGCCCGTAGGTGCCCGTGACCAATCAAGGACTAGACGTCACTATTTTTATGTTTTATTAGCTTCTTGGACAATGCCAATGATCTGTCATTCGACCTCACTGGGTGCCGCGCCCTTCCTTTCCAGTGGTAACTTTATTGAACGCAATTTTGAAGCTTCATCAGGTATGGTATATCTATGAGGAACATTCCTATGTACAACATTGTTTTCACAAAACAAATATAATATGACATATATAAGAAAAAACAATAAAAAAATAATATTTCTATATATTAAAATCAAATATCTTGATTTAACACGAAAATGGGTTGGCCAAATATCAGGGAATAGGTTGAATCAACGTTTAGTTGTTCTGTTACACTATGGAATACTGCAATCTAAAAAGCTAATGTTCTCGTGGTCAGGATGTGCCTTTTTTATATTAATACCAGCACCTGACCTTTTTTAGTTTTAAATTATTTTATCTTTTATTGTTTTTTAACATATATCTTCAATTGAAATTGCATTAATTGAATCAAAATATAATTTATTTACCACAATATATAAGTTGACTGAACGCCAAGCTTTTTCAGAGTGTTACAGAATATTTATGTCAGAAACAAACTCAGCGCCACATAAGTTCAATAGAATTGAGGCTATCCTTAATTCTATTGACATTATGTGGCGCTGAGTTTGCTGTTAACAAAATATGTTGTAATACCATGAAAAAGTTGGCGTTCAGCCAACTGAAATATTGGTTAATACATTATATTTTGATCAAATATATGCTTTTAAATTGAATATATATTTATGGATTTCTCTATGAATACACACACACACATATATATAAGTTTTAAAACTTAATTCTGTTGACGTTATGTGGCGCTGAATTTGTTGTTGACACACTTTAAAATGTTATAACACCTTGATAAAGGTTGGCGTTCAGTCAACTGAAATATTGGTAAAATAAATGATATTTTAATCCAATATATACCTTTTTAAAACAACACTTAAAGTTTCACCGCATAAGTTTATTTTCTGTGAAAAATCAATATTTATTTCAAAGAGAAATATCTACTATTTCTAACTTTTTTGGATGACGTATGAAAGGGTGAAAATATGAAGAGTAATGGTCTATATATGATTGGATGACGTATGAAAGGGTGAAAATATGAAGAGTAATGGCGAACGGAAAAATAAAAGGGTCCTGGGGCGGGAATCGAACCCACAACCTTCCGCTTACCGGGCAGATGCCATGTCCACTAGGCTACCCTGGACGTATTTTTCCGTTCGTAACTAATACTTAAGCGGAAGGTTGTGGGTTCGATTCCCGCCCCTGGACACTTTATTTTTCCGTTCGCCATTACTTTTCATATTTTCACCCTTTCATACGTCATCCAATCATATATAGACCATTACTCTTCATATTTTCACCCTTTCATACTTCATCCAAAAAAGTTAGAAATAGGAGATATTTCTCTTTGAAATAAATATTGATTTTTCAAAGAAAAGAAACTTATGCAGTGAAACTTTAAGTGTTGTTTTATAATCATACGCCGCAGTACTTTATAATGTAATATACCTTTTATTTAAATATATATATATATATATCAAAAAATCCAGAACAATGGAAAGGCTTAGACTTTCTATCAACAGTTGGATTGCTCTATTTTCAAAACAAAAAATATATATATAAATATATATGTCATAATATATGCTCTTCCAGGAATAATAAAGTAAATCTGCAGTGGACCAGAGAGAGACGTAGTCGATAGAACGCAGCTAAATTACGACATTTGGGACACTAACGGTCACATTCCTGAGGGGGCCGCCCGTCACCTCCTGGCGACTATTCTGGTTAGCCCCCTGGTTTTGGACACAGGGAAAACAGTCGTTCAGCGGACAGCGCTCTCGCTACCTTTTTCTCTCTCTGATGGCTTCCAGATTCCTCTTCCAACTCGTCGTGTGATTATTTCTCTCCTCACCACATTTACCACTATAGTGCCACAACGAAAGACGACAGGATTAGACCTGGCCGGGACGCGAATCTCTCATATACCGGAGTATGAAGAAACAAGAAGCCAAGCCACGATGATCGACCAAACCCAACTCAACTGTAACCACTCCTCTTCGAGCCCTCAACCCCTTCCTCGCCAACTTTTGAACCGTTACCCTGAAGAAGTATTCGCCTACGACGGAGATGGAGCTGCCACGCACTTCTTCCAGCGCTAGATCTACCCAAGAACGACCACCGTGCCAGGGCAGGACACCTTCCTCCATCATGGACAAGACTCCGCCATATCCCTACCGCTACTGTGATGTACAACACTGGTACGCACAGTGTCACAGACAGAACTCTCCCAAAGCTCAATGAACTTACCTGCGCCCTAAACCAACATAACTCGTGAGTGTAACTGTTTTAACTTCCACCATTCATTCTTTAAATAAGTCATTCCTTGTAAATTGTCCCAATATTTACATAATTAGCTCCATTTATTTTCTCCACGCCTATTAACAATGATTTTATTCTCCATATTATTTATCTAGATATTTGTAACTCATTTAATTAGTTACCTTACCAGTAGAATTTAACAATCGTCATTTTAATTAAATAATTTCCATTTTAACGTAACCCTTAAAAAAAAAAAAAGATGGAATTCTACCTATTAATGCTTTACGATTTTTACTATTAACAATATTTTTTTTCATAATCAATTTATCTATAAAAATATGCCTCCAGCACCTAAACTTTTGTATACCTATTTATATATGACCTCTCCTACTTGTAAGCACGGCTCACGAAAAATAATTCCTTTCCCTAAACGACTCAAAATCCACCCTGTAATTCAGGCGTCGAAGAATTCCAACCGCCACGTGAGTCTTGCTTACAACCAACCCTTGGTGACTCTTATCTATCTTTCCCTTAATGTCCCATTCATTCTTACAACTTTGTCAACCTTATACCAGCTCAGGACCTTTTATAGAATTATTGATTAATCAATTATCGATACATTATTGCAAACAATATTGTCATTTCAAAATCCTAATCTTCGCCCTTCATTTATGATAATATATTTCGTAGTTCATCTCTAGCATATCCACCGACCCACACCATCTAGCCAATGGTGTGTTCGTCACAGGATGCAGATTGACTAACTGCTAGATATTTATCAACTCCTTTTTGTTCGCACTTGAACAATCTGCATCGAGCGACACAGTTCGCCTCTTCTCCTCGCGCCACACGTTCGCCACACGGACCCTGTCTTCAAATCTATGTTTGTCCCTTGCTCAAGCCAGCACGATATAGCCTACCACCGATATTTCCCACGGAGGTACGTTAAACATCGTCGCTGATTTTGTCCGGTCTGTCATCATTTCGCGCAGACATGGGTCTTACTTTCAACCCACCGCGAAATCATCGCCTTGCACAAGCTCCCACGACGGTTCAAACACCTCGTGTCCGAGCAGCTTGTCACTTGTAACGGACAACGCAGTCCTCGTCCCAATTTTCGGCACTGTGCGCGCATACTTTCCACAAATTAAATATAAGTCCATTCGACTTCCTCACCTACACACGGAACTTTTCCCCTCAGACTCGCTACACAAGTAACTGCATAGATAAGTTAGATTGGCCCAAAGCAAGTTTACCCTCGCTCTGTTCGCCGAAACTCTAACATTGTATGTAGTTCTATATTTACCTCAGTCCTGAGCTCACACAATTGCCAACCTCAACCTCATTTCTCGTACTCTACACCTATAGCATAGAAAGCCCATGCCAAGTCTTCCCCTTGCCATGTCCGCCTGAAAAATATCTTAAAGTGTAGAGTTCCCCAGTCTTAATGATCTTCAGAATGCCATCATATGAATGTGATTCTTCTTCCCCTTGTTCACACTCCTCAATAACATTTCCCTTATAGTACATTAGATTTTGTTGTATGTAGCTTTTATAACCTTGATATTTTCAAAGATTTCCTTAAATGTCAAACTCTCCGGTGTTGTAAAACTGCTTGTAAATAATATTTACTTGTGTACTATACAATATTTTATTTACATAAAGCTATGTCACCATTACCTTAACTAATTTCAACTGTAAAATTATTTTCTCTATTCCTGGCTTCACCAGCTTTAACTATACTCAAACCATGTTCAGCCTTCTTCAACGGGGGCCATATGTCATAATATATGCTCTTCCAGGAATAATAAAGTAAATCTGCAGTCGACCAGAGAGAGACGTAGTCGATAGAACGCAGCTAAAGTACGGACATTTGGGACACTAACGGTCACATTCCTGAGGGGGCCGCCCGTCACCACCTGGCGACTATTCTGGTTAGCCCCCGGTTGTGGACACAGGGAAAACAGTCGTTCAGCGGACAGCGCTCTCGCTACCTTTTTCTCTCTCGGATGGCTTCCAGATTCCTCTTCCAACTCCTCGTGTGATTATTTCTCTCCTCACCACATTTACCACTATATTGTCATATATATATATTGTTGCACTGGGCTGCGGTTTGGCAGATTCTTCAGTCTTGAGTCTCTCCTCAGACGTGTCTTGCATCTTTCCAGAGCGTGTTTCAACCATCCTACAAATTTATATAAGGGAATAATGAGATAAGTCTACTTTAAGTAGCCTCCAGAATGATTTATTTATTTTTTCACATCAAAGAGAGCAGTGAAGTCACACGTGTACCTAAATACAAATGATGATAATCTAAATAATCTGTTTTAAATAAATATCATAGAGAATATAAAAATAAATAAATATATAATTTAAATTTCAAATATATTAAAAATAATATAAGAAATACGCTATTAATCATGATGTAACACTTCCCCCTCTCCAGAGGTCGTCACGTCCTCGTGATTGACCTCATCAATTCTTTCAAAATAGGGTTTGATTCTTGAGACATGGACAATCAATGAATCTTGGCCAGGATTATCTTTTGGTTCAATTAAGTAATTTACGCTGGACAGCTTCTTTAATATTCTATATGGGCCAAAATATTTTCTCAATAGTTTTTCACATTTTCCGATTTTCCTAACTGGTGTCCAAACTGCCACTAAATGTCCTGGTTCATAGATTCTCTCGTTGTGTTTTTTGTCATAGTTTCTTTTCATTCTTTCCTGAGTCTTCTCTGTGTTGTTAATGACTACCTGTCTCGTCCTTGCTATTTTATCTAAGTAGTTTTCTATATATTCGTCGTAATCGTCCATGTTACTGTCCATTGGGATATTCTCGTCGTCTAAGAGGGACATGGGTTCCCTCTCAAACAACAGGAAAAATGGAGAGTAGCCTGTGGTTTCTTGAATTGTGGTATTATACGCGTGGGTGATAAAAGGAAGGATTTCGTCCCAGTTCTTCTGATCCGTATTCACATACATGCTGATCATATTGATTAAAGTTCTATTTAGCCGTTCCGTTAGCCCGTTAGTCTGGGGGTGGTAGCTCGTTGTGAAGCAATGTTTAACTTTGCACATTTTCATAACCTCCTTCATCAAATTGCTAGTGAATTGTGAACCTCTGTCGCTGATAAGAAATTTTGGGGCCCCGTGACGTAAAATAATATGTTCGATTAAAAATGTAGAGACTTCTTTCACGGTTGCTTCTGATACTGCCTTTGTTTCAGCATACTTGGTATAATAATCATTCAACACAATTATCCACTTCCTTCTTCTTTTCGTTGATGGCAAGGGGCCAACAAAGTCAATTCCGATTCTTTCAAAAGGGTAGTTCGCTGGGGGAATAGGTTGTAGAAGTCCAGATGGCAACTGATTTGAACCTTTCCGACTTTGGCAAAGATGGCACGTCTTTACAAATTCGGAAACATCTTTCAGCATGGAAGGCCAATAGTATTTATTCTTCAATCGGTATGTGGTTCTGGCGACGCCCAGATGGCCATTCAGCATATGGTTGTGGTATTCACTCATGATTTCTTTCCTTCTCTTCTTTGGCACTACCAGCAACCATTCTCTACCTTCAGGATTTGGATTTTTCTTGTAGAGACACCCATTTTCTTCTTTAAAGTTCTGTGTAATTGAACGCTTGTTTCCACTAAGGTTCTCCTTAATATTCTCAATAAAATCATCCTTTTCGTCTATTATTTGATTCAAAAATAGTCTTTCATAATCCTCGTCCCATTCGTTTTCTGGTAAGGGTCCTCTAGATAGACCATCAGCGTCCAGATGTTTTTTTCCCGATTTGTGTATAATTTCGAAATTATATTCCTGAATCTTCAGTGCCCATCGTGCTAATCGACCGGTCGGATCTTTTAAATTCTTAAGC